TGGTCCTGCTATTCCTGTTCGTGGTCCTGGTGCTATTCCTGGTGTTGCTGTTCCCGGTAACGGCCCTGCTTTTTCCGGTCGTGATGCTGCTATTCCTGGCCCTGGTCCCAGTCCTGTCATTCCTGGTCCTGGTTCTGCTGTTCATGGTCCTGCTCTTTCCGGTCTTGGTGCTGCTGGTCCCGATGATGTTCCTGCTATTCCTGGTCATGGTCCTGCTGCTCCCGGTGCTGGCCATTCGGTTGGTGGTGGAAGTAAACCTCCGGACTCTCGCTCTGTCGTTACTTCCTCAAGTTAAGGTGGCAATGAAAAAACAGCCCCGGTCAGTGTTTCATCCGATGAGCAGATTGCATCCTCAAAGGAAGTTTTGCCACAAAAAGAAACAGGGAGTCAGGACACCTCTTCGCCCGAAGGACAGCCAACGGTGTCATCCAACACTGAAAAGCAAAGAAACAATTCTGCCTCAGCAGGGGGTCACAGTCTTGGCCGCGACGCCGCGGGAGATGAACTTCAAGACTCTTTGGAAGAGCAACAGAAAAATGACCATTCACAAACGAACGAGACAAAAAAATCATAAGGGGACCAAATTACAGAATCCCAAAGCAGTGGAGGAGCACTCTCGGAAGTATCCAACAAAACGACGCATGGGATAAAAACTCAACAGCCAAAGACAAATTCAGCAAATGAGAAGAACTACAGTCAAAACACGGATGCATCCCACACCACCTCCCCACTTTTGCTATTTCTTGTTGCGTGTGCGGCTGCGGCTGCGGTGGTGGCCGCGTGAGAGTGAGGGAGAGAGAGCCGTGCACCGCCCGCACACACACTCGTCCTTCTCTCTGTGTGTGTCCCCCTGCATGGACTCTCGCCCTCGCCTCACCCCACGAGGCGCACACAATAATGTGCCCATTGTATATATGCATGCACACCCACGCAGGCCCGTTGGTGCTCTCTTTTGCACGACACGCACCGCTGCCGTCCTGCCTGGCTGCATGGGCGGAGCACCGTAACTGTTTCTGTTTTTTGTCCTCTTATGATTGTTTTAATTGTTTTTAATTTTTTTTTGCTGTTTGCTTTAAAATATTTTAAATATGTTTTTCTTGTTTTTTCTGGTTTTGCGAGTGTTTTTTTTTATTTTTTTTTCATTTCTTTTTTCTGTTTGTTTTTTAATTTTTTCATCTCTCACTGCCCCATCTCTTCTTTTTGCTTTTGGGGGCAATCACTATGGACGCTTTTTTCTTTTCTACTCTTCCCTCTTTAATTGTTTGTTGCTGCACTCTTTCTGTGAGGGGTGCCGTGTGTTTCCGCCCAACGGCTCCACTCGCACACCCACCGACACGCTCACGACGACGGCCCTGTGCGCCTCGCCTGCTGCACGCATGAGGAGGGCGGTGACGTATGGGCGTGCGACGAGGGCCTGTGGGGCGGAGCACACATTTCTTCCCTCTTGTTTTGTTTGCTTGCGGCCAGGGCGGGCAGACACCCGCAGCGCCACACCCGCAGCCACACCCTGCCGCTCTCCAAAGGAATTTTTTGTGCTTTGCGTGTTTATTTCACGCGCCGGCATTTCTTTCGGGGCCGGTCTTGTGAGCATTTCTTTCCCCCGATGCTTCGTTTTTTTTTGCTGCGCTCACTCTCCCGATGGAGAGACGCGAGTGCCGTCAGGTTTTTTCTTGCTTCTCTCGCCCCCACACACAAGAAGAGTGACTGTGCGCTGCGGGCCGCCCTCACGCGCCGATGAAAGGGCTGAGGGGAGCAGCAACGCGCAGATGACGCCGTGAAATATAAACGATGTGCGGACACACGGAGGGTCGGACGGTTGAAACACATTTAAATATCTTTTTAATTTTCTTTTGTGGGCAAAATACATACAGACAGTTTGGTGTGGCCACACGGCAGCCAGGCGAATTTCCTTGTTTTCAAAATTGTGTGGAGCAGTAATGGACGACTT